GTAACTAGCATTTTTGTACTAAACATGTGTAAGAATTTGTCTTTTAGAATAAAATTCGACTATATACTTTTTCTCCGCAAAGACTTCTATGCATTTCATTTCTGTAGAAAATGTCGATTATGAAACTTGGGCATGTTATCCTACGTTTTGTTAAAGTAAAATATAGTTCTTTTTATTAGGATTCTTCTAGCATAAATTAATTGCAACATAATAGAATTTGTAATAAACTAGAATTTAAAGTACCACTAAATGTCGGGCTTAAATGCGCATGAGGCTTACTAATTCGGCAAATGAACCAATGCCATTAACTAACTTTTTATGCATCCTGCGCACAACTTTTTGTTTTACAAATGGGAGAAATAAATAAAGTTTTATGCATAACTTATCTGCTTAAAAATTGTCTATAATCACCTACGTTTTATAAATCTACACCTAAAATTATTTTAATTACACTTTTCTACCTTTCCTTTCAGCGATTGATTGACTACGTCCTTTCCCTTATTTGATTCTATAAAAATTAAGAAAAACTTAATATCATTATCCAGTAATCTGTCTTAATTACTTCTGAATATTAACTTGCTGCAAGTTTGCAGAAAAGGCAACAGAAAAACAAGTGGGAAATATATTTGGAGAGCAAGGTAAGATATGCTAATCTGTAATCATAAACTGCCAAAAAATCAATTAGAATTCCAGTATTTAACATTTTGCGCTTGGGTCGAGATTTAAAACTCTTCTACAGCACGCTAAGTCGGAGAAATATAAACAATGAAAATTAGTATAATACGTATTTTTTCCTTACCAGTGCCATTCTAAGTATCGTCCCGGGCTTCGCTCTTGTGCATCTACTCTATCCTAAATGGGGCCCAGCAGCGGCCGAGCGATAAAGACCCTGAACACTAGTAGTTCGGTCCGAGGTTCGAATCCCGTGAAGGGCTGGTTGCATGGGCGTTTTCCAGGTTTTGCCCATGTGTAACGTGTATATGAGCCAGTTTCCCTTAGAAAGTCCTCCCCAAGGCAGATAGCCCTCGTGTGCTTTGCCATAATTGAATAATCCAATCCATCCTATCCTAAATGACATGAATGTACCGACCACAGAATAGCGATTTCACATACAATTACATTTTAGTTGTTATGCGAGATGCAATGCATGAGAATATGAAAATTTACTTTCATAATGAAAGCGAATTTTAAATTATTGCTAGACATTTTAATTTATATATATCAAAGCAAGAAGTACGTTTTAATTGAACTTTCAAAAAGTTATTTATTATTAATTTTTGTAACTGATACGAAAATGTTAAATTATATGCAATCTTAATTTATTAACTTATCCAAAGCTTTATTTTTTTTTTTAGGATAAACTAACAGTGTTCAACTATTTTAATGGCGACTTCGATATTAAGTCTAACTGCACATATAACCGTAAAACTTATGTAAAAGCAAGTTTAATAACCGATTTTAAGAGTTCAGTTTAAACATGGAAATTCCTTGAAATCGATGATTTAATCTGATAGTCCTCAAGCAGTCGATATTTGATTTCGGAACACCAGCTACACAAAGATTTAGTAATAAATTTAAAGCCCAGTTCAAATTACTCCAATTTCTTCGATACATAAACGTCAGTTCAGTTTCTTATTTAATTATACCAGATTTAATACAGACATTTAAAAGTAACTTTTTTGTTATAGCCCTACCACGTATTTTTGGCTAATTTTTTCCCCCTCACATTTGACTAGGTATTAGCCGAAAGGTAATGATCGGAAACAGCCAACAAGAGACTAATTTCTAGACAAAAGCCTAAAAAACTCACTATGGGTAAAGAACACGCCTTACGCTATTTTATCTTTCTTAAACAAGTTTTCACCAATTTCCGCAATTATATTAACCCTTCGATTTTTAACATTAGGCCAAAATAACAAGCAATCGTCTCTTACCTCTTCCATAATTATTCCAAACAACCGTTGTGTTGCTATTCATCTGAAGGAAACTAAAAAGTTCGCAAAACTCAACAGACGTTAGTTCCCGGCATCATAAATAAATCGTACGGCATTAATGAAAGAAATTAGTGATCCAGACTGTTTGGACGGAATAAGCGGTCGGAATAATTCTTCCCGGAATAAGTATTACGGCTAGAAGTCATTTTAACTTTAATTTATGAAATGATTATTTGAACAGAACGTTTCTTTGTGGAAAAAAAATACTTTTTGGGGTAGAGAGAGGATATCCCGTTCTTCATCTCTTGGCAAACCAAGCTGTGAAATCCATTGCAATAGAAGAGAAAAGAATCAGGTGAAAAATGTTGGGCTTGCGAATGATTATAATAAAAATAATGACTAGGAAATAGGCCAAAGTAATTCCTTCTTCCCCCCCCCCCGAAAATGTTTCAAGTGATCTTGTTTCGAACAGGAAAGTATCTTTCTAAAATAAAGACTACTAAGAATTTACTCAAAAATAGTTTATATGTTCCCCCTCTTGAGTAGATAATATACCAAGTTGCATCAATATAGCAGTTCACGTTCAGAAGTTTCGTATTGTCGTTTAACATTTTTGAACCATAGCGCTTTTAGTCATCGGCGATACAAATGGCATTGGAAATCTAAATTTGCTTAAGTAAGCGTGTGAGGCACCTAGAACATGTTTTAACCAATTTTTACCTTAGCTGGAGAATGTTATGTGTACCTTAATACTTTTATTATTTTAAGTGAAAATAATGAATGCAAGTCTTAAATATTACTAATCAGTTATAAGACTGAATGAATGCATATTTATAGAGTTCGCTCAATGCATTTTATTCAACAGTTCGTATTCACATTCACACAGCTTAAAGGTTAAGATAAAGAGCATTTCTTGGAAGGTTAAATTTAAGCTCAGCCAAACCACGCCATGGCTTAAAAATTTCAAACACCAGCGAAAGGTACTGTTGACAGAAATTGAGAGAGACATTTGAAAATGAAGTTGCGTTTCATCCTATCGCAAAATCAATTTCTGTACCTAAATCCCGATTTATTGCGGATATTGGTTTACACGAAAATCTCCATTACATGTTTGTGTATTCCTTAGTTTTCCGAATGGCTGCAGAATGTTTTGCCCTTTTTATTCACTTTCATTTAGTATTAAACTTCAAATTATTTACAAATACATATTTTGTACGAGCTAATCAATTTAAATTTACCAATTTTTAAACAGATAAATCACTTTCGCGAAAGGAACTACAGTTAGACGTGAGGAAAATGCTTTCTGCAGTTTCGTGGGGTTAAGCAGTTTATGAATTTAACAGAACATAGCATAGTTTAATGCTGAACATTCAAATTGTCGAATGCGAAATTCGTACAAAGAGTCTTAATTCTATTTAAAGATTGAAATGGCTGTTTACTTTTTCAAATGTGTCTATTCTCACAAAACTATCTGCTTAAGTAGGAAATGCCTTCTGAGGAACTTTCTAAGAGAATGGACTATTCGATTACGGAATTGGAACTTAAATGTTGATTAAAATGAGTTTATTTAAACATTGCTTAATGTGCATTTTCTTTTTTCTTTTCAAACTCTGCATAGTTCATTTAAAACCATGTGAATAAATGTTAAGGAAATTTAATACAGCACTAAACTTTTAATATTATAAATTTCTTTTAACGTAATAAGGTTCTTGTGTAGCGTGTACCGGTTTGATAATCGCTGAATTTGTATTCAGGTTGACTGATCTTTCAGTTAGATAGTTAGCAGATAGTCGAAATATGAAAAGCTCCACCAGTGGCCGAGTAGCTAAGACCGCTGAATACTGCTAGTTCAAACCTAGGCAAACGGCTAGTGGCATATTGGGTCCTCCCTTACCATGTGCAACGTGAATATGAGCAAGTTTCTCTTAGAAAGTCCTCTACGAAAAGCATCCTTTCCTGGAGCAGACAGCCATCGTGTGCTTCGCCATATTCGGGGTAACCTAACTTCGAATGCTCCAAGATAACATTGTTATAAACATACCACCAAAAATCTAGGTATTTTAATTACATAAGTTGAAACTAAAGCAAAAGATATGTTTAAAGGATAGTTTTAAACCTTACCTATAATAACAGACTCTTAACAATGAGCATCTTATGTTAACATGAAAAGAAAAAGTATCTTTTCCGTGTAGGACAACACGCACCAAATAACTTTCTATAGAAAGATCTATGTGCCAATGTTGATTGACCATTGTTAAATGAAATGAGTTTTTCTGATCTCTTGTTACAGTGTTCTTGTTTTCAGCTAGGTAATATCATCAATTGAAAGTTTTTGAAGTGACTTCAAATAGCTTTTAATTATTGAGGTAACTACATAAGAACCATTTTTTGCGTTCAGAAAATTTTTTCAACCGAAACGAGATTATGAAATTTTGTTCTTTTACTAGAAGTATCAAAATGACACACAACTTTCTAGAGAAAACTGTTTGGCGCGTCTTGTCCTGCGACAGAAAAGATCCATGAAATGTATTCATGAGAATATTCACTTTTAAATTTTGCAGTTTCCTTCATAATCAATACTTTGAGGATAACTAAGGAAAACTGGCACGTATCCTCGTTACCATGGAGAAAACCATAAGAACTCCCACGCAGCCGTGCTGTTCATTCTGATCGAACTGCCAGAGTTCAGCGAATTTTACCGCTCAGCTTCTGGTGAAATTAACTGAATGGAAAGTAGCGTAGAAATATCTCCAACACACTAATAAACTACACCGCTGCAAAATTATATACGATTGCAGCATATTTAGTTACTTTAAATTTCTGGAATGAGTAATTCAAGTGCACATTTTGAAACTGCGAGAGAAGTCAAAAGAAACTTCAACATTTTCTAACTGAAATAACACTTTTTCAGACGAAATCTTAGATTCTACTGTTCTAGGTCAATCGGATTTCACACTGCACTTTTTTGTGTTCTGTTTATTTGAAACATTACATCTTCTGAAAATAGAATTAAAACTGAAGATATCATTGTCGCAATAAAAGGAAAACTCTTTCAAATTTAATTTTTCACACAACTTTATTGAATGAGAAATATATTTCTGAAGTCAACAATAAAGCAAAAAGAGAAAATATATACAGTTCTGTTAAAATTATCATATGTTAAAATTTGCTCATACGCTAAAAATGTGGAGCTTGTTAATAACTAAATGTTGAAGATGAAGATCCACAGGAATTCTCAGGAAAGAACCTATAAATAAATTTTAATTTTTAGATTTAAGCAACTTAAGAGAACTTGCTATTTTCGAACTTTAAGTAGATTTTAGAGCAATATTTTTAAAAATTCAGTTTATAAAACTGTCGTGAACGACTTATTTCAATTAAAAAAAAGAGGCAATTAATTTTCTATAAGACTGCGTTTCTTACATGCAATTAAGATCACTGTAAGCCCTTGAATTAGTTTTAGAAATCTTTAGTTTTAGAAGTAAGGCAGATAACCAGTTATTTCACTGCTACATTTGATTAAAGCCCACGTTTTATTTTATAACAATCGCTTTTAATAACTCTCCTGAAAAATTGATCTACGAGTTATATATGTACGCATAACAAATTTTTTAACACCTTGTATTTTAAAGTAAATAGCGCTGATCTTCACTATTTAGCTTTGTAAAGAAATTGGGAAATACAGATACCATATATAAAAGAGTGGTAAATGCTTTTGGACTAATTATGCGAGTGGAAGGTACAATTTACAGGATGGTTTTTAAAGCATACTATTAAGTATTTTTCAAGTGCAGTAATTCAGGTTAATTCAGGATGCATTTAAAATTTCACAACCGTATTTAAATGCTTTGAAGTACATTGAAAAAGGACCATATTAAAAATATTTTCCGTCAAAGATACATACCTGAAATATTCAACCATAACGAGTGGAATCTCTAGCTAACTTTTTCACAGTTAACACACTAGATTTCACTTTGTTTGCTACAGCTTTTCCCTCAAGGACTTTACCAGCAATCTTCAAGGGAACACCCAGTGGGCCCAACACGACCCCAATCACTTTCAGAGGTTTACCGATTACTTTCTGCGCAGTTCCCTTTGTACCCTTTACTACAGCACCAACACCGTAAAGTATAAATTTCTTGTCTTTAGCCTTTGTTTTGATACGAGCTTTCTTATGAAGAAGCTTGCCAGCTATGAATGCTTCTAGCGGTTGGCAGTAAAACAAGTCCAGCAGAATTAAGATTACTATCAAAGCATAGACCTTCATTCTTTATAACCTGAAGGAAAGAAAAATTCATATTAGTAATTGAAGAAAGAAAAATTAACTCCGCGTATTGTTAAAACTTTTGAAAAAGAGACGGGCTAACTAAGTATGTGCTAAATTAAACTGAACGAAATTAAAGATGGGGGGTCAGTGCCGAAAAACCAGGAAAAGTTAAGTAGTAAACGTCTGGTATCAAGAGGATAAGAACTTCCATTGCACGATTCTAGAGAATCAAAAGTCTTCAAATATTTTAGTTCATTCTAAGGAGCTTCTACGATTAAGAACACGATTCACTTTCTGCGATATGAATCATCAGCAAGGATGATTAAAGATATCATAAAACATTGCGAGTTACCAAAACTAGAAATAAAACCTTTTCCTGTGGGCTGTAGAATTCATGTTTAATGTACATTGGGCCATTTAGTTAGCTATTAGCCAGGAAGGAACAGAAAAACAAATCCTTAGGATCTTCCACTTCGTGTTCGACGTAAGTAGCAAATTTTTATCTTTATGGTTGACTGAAATTCTTTGAGCCTCATTTAATATAGGGAACGCGTAGTAAATGTACGGCCTAGCCCAGCAAAATGATAGTTTAAAATGACAAGTGTAAATAATTTAGTTTATTCCATCGTATTAGATATTTATGTACCACATAAAGCATTAGAATTACGACTTACTTCAATTTAGCGAGTGCCTGCTTCTTTTATATTTAACAGTAATGCAAAAATTCTGAATAACAGATTCCATGAAAATTTAACAAAATCTTAAGAGTTACTTAGTGTTACTTATGTATTCTTTAGTGCTGTAGTGGTGCAAGTGGCTATCATATCCAGCTAACAACTGGAAGATTCGCGGTTCCAGTCCCCGGTGAGCAAATATTTCATTTACAAAGTTTCTCGCTTCCAAGAAAACCTAAAGTCGTTAGAAGACCATTACATCCAAGTTGTGTCGAATAAAGAGCAAACATAACGTGGAAGTAAAACTTGAAATTTAAATAAATTCCTAAATATAAATAAGAATTCGTACTTCACGTCTATCAGAATTTTTAAACTACATTTCTGGAAAAAAGGAGCTTTAATAAGTTCTTTGGTATTGCAGATTTATCGAACAAAATATCTTCGCTATCATTTACAATAATGAGAAACTAAAAGCTTTCGAATGAATAAATTCACTTCTTTAGAACACAGATTCATAAAGCAGGTATCTAAAACAATATTAAAATTATTAGAAATATCAAAGCTTTACCGCTATTCCTAAAAATCTTCTTAAGTCTGTCTGAACAAAGCTTAATTAATCTTACTTCTGATTGTTGCTCGCGAAGCAACTAATGCTTAAAAGTTAACATAAAAATGAAGAGCGATAAAGAAGAAAAAAAAAAATTAACTTCTTCAATAGAGCACAAAATTCTACTATTTACTGTCTTAACATAGACTGGCAAATTACTTTAGTAAATGCCCTGTCCCGCAGAAATTAAATTTCAAATTTGCATGAGAACAAGATTTCTTTCGTCTTCTTGTTCTCATCAATGAATTGTTCAGCAAAGTAGAAAATATATTTTATTTAAAAATTTTATATCACATGTTAATCTTTTAAATATTCTATTAAAAAGAATATTTGACTAGTTATGTTAAATTTTTATAAAATTAATAAGGAGACCAATTTTTTTATTATGTTCATGTACTCTGTATTTTTTTCAAATAGAGGTTTTTTTTCTTACTTTTTATAAATGCGATATTTTTATTCTTAATTTCTTTCTTGAGCATTTTACTTGAGCTCTTCACATTATTATTCATAACGTTGGAGGACTTTTACAAAATGTAACATGTGTGTGTGTGTGTGATTATGGCAAAGCCTCGAAGTCTATCTGCCTAAGGGGATGGATGCCTTCGTGGAGGACTTTCTAAGGGAAACTGGCTCGAATACCACGTTACGCACGGGGAAAACGACGAAAACGCCCATGCAGTCAGCCTGTTCGCGGGATTTGAACCTCGGACCGAACCTACCAGTGTTCAACGACTTTACCGCTCGGCCGCTGGTGGGCCCAAAATGTAACATGAAAGTTCATTTGGGGTTATTCGCTTCTGTTTTTTGCATTGATTATCTACGTTTTTGTAGTTTTATACATAAATTAATGCTGTCAACCTCGTTCTATATTCTTCTTCAACAAAACATATATTTTGATAAATTTTGATTTTTTATAAGTTTTGTTTTAGTGCAAAAGCCTAAGTGATAGTAGCAGGTTGGCTCCTGAGCATAATTTATGTAGATTTAAGCAAGCAAAATGGAAATTGCAATACCGTATCATTGAACATCTGGCGAGGTCTAGAACTATTACTAAGGGCAAATTTGCTGTGTAGCAAGGTGCTATCATTTCGAAATTTTATCGCTGATTAGAAGGACAATGAAAAGGTAATAATCATGTTTAATGCAAGCAGTCTTTGAAAAGGTACTTTCGGGTGTTTTTTTTTTTTTTTTTTTTTTAATTTTGCTGCGACCTACATCAATAGAAATCTAAGCTTGGAAACACGCGTTAAGATTTCAACGAGCATGGCAATTACAGTCTTCCGAATTGCTGATTTAAGTAACGGCGTTTGATAGAATTAACGAGCTCTGCTAGAATATCAATTGAAGAACTAAGCGTTTAACCGCCGTTAAGGAGGGCGGGAGGGGGTACAACTATCTTATTTGCTTCAGCTAAAAAAGCGACGACTTTTTTTTTTGGCTTCTATTTAAAAATATTATTATTTTTTTAAAATTAGAAACGCGTAAACATAGCGATCAACTTTACAATAAAAAAAAAAAGCGTATTCAATAATTTTTGGAGCAATTCAGTAACTTCTGGCATCATTGCCAATTTCGCCACAACAAATAATTTTTAAATGCTCTATTGCACAGTTAAAATCTAGTATATACATTTTTTACACCTAAGGCTAATAAATGTTTCTTCCGCTGTGAGTTATAAAACTACATTACTATGCATAATTTTGCAAGGAATGAATGTGTGTGACTATCCTTTCATATATATTATATATAAACGTATTACATATTTCAAACATATATATAATATGTATGAAATATATATATGATGTACCAGCTTTTGTCCGGAATAAATAGATTGGTGAAGAATCATAGATGTAGTCGTAGCTTAAATTATCAGACGATAAGTTTTAAAAACAGGATCCATTTATTATTGGTCAGGAGAAATAGCAGTTACAAAATCAGATATACGGAGTAAATAAAAAAGAATTACTAGTAACCTTTTGTATTTAGTTTACTGCATCGTTACATTAAAGAAAAGACCCAGATATTCCTTTGCGAGTCCTTTTATAGCCTCTGGAAAGGCAGAGCTTCCAAGAAATGACGTCAGCCATTCCAGTTCGCTTTAAATATCTCCAGAACATTCTATAACTGTACGTGTAGAAAAGGCGGGAAAAACAACTTGACTACGTGGCTGTGGATTTAATTCCACGTACTTTCAAATAAGAGACCGTCGCCATTAAAAAATGAAAAGAAATACAGTTAGAATTTTAAGTGTATTCTTGACTATGGAATTTTATTATTACATATATATATATATCATGTGTATTAGTAAATAAATTATCAATATTTCTTAAGTAAAAATATTTATGAAATATATCTATGAATATATATATATATGTTGTATGGTCTTAAATTTATATATCATGTGTTATCCGTTTTTGAAATCCCAGATAATGCGTACTTATCGTTCACATCGATTTCTCTCGCGCGTTATTTCCTTATTAATTCGTTAATTCCATTTATTTATTTCTAAAGTTATACTGGATAATATGCATAAATTTTGGTGAAACTCATTTTACATTTTAAATTTCAAAACAGCAAAAGTCAAATCCTATTCGTTATCAATAAACCAAAATCTTCTGATAAAATATGATAGTGACGATGTATTGAAGCTTTTTGTAAAGGTACAGCTCGTAAACCAAGCTATGACTTAATTTTTGCTGTCTTGCTTTCGACTTAAATGAATAAAGGAATTTACTTGCCAGTCTCATAACAATTTATTTTGCGCACTCATTAGTCTCTCTTTAAATGCATCTTTTTTTCTTTATTAAATGCATTTGCTTAATATTTGAAAATTCTGAACTAAAAATAAGGAAGTTTACAGCACGTATTATCTGTTTGTTATTCGAATACCGGAGAAGGCATGGATGTTTGTATAGTGTCTGTGCGGCATGGGCGCACTCTAAATATTCAGCGAGCCTGCAGTCCTCTCCAGAGGTAGGTGGTAGGGCAGAGGGGTAGGAAATCAAAGGACCTGTTCCCCTGGGTTGAACTGGACCCAAAACTGGAGGTCGTACCCAGTCGTACTATTACCTGTATGGTGCCCAAGGCGAAATCTTATGGTATAAATCTGTATGGTGCCCAAGGCGCAAGGCCAACGACAGGCGCAATCTTGCGTCCTTGCTATGGTGAATTTCTTGGGCTTGCTCTGATATCAGAGAAGCGAAATTAGTCACAAAACAAGAAGAAGCGGAAGTATCGGTAAAGCGGGAATAAGTGGGAAAAGGTAGCGGTGAATCGGCACTCTTTTTGAGTTAAAATTCATCGGGAAAGGGATGATATAACACTCAACCGTTAGCTTCCGTTCTCTACGTCACATCATCAAAACTCCTTGCCCGGCGATAAAAGAACAAGAGGTTTCTTAGAGTGCATATGGTGTAACTTCCTGGACAGTTTTGTGGTAAAGGCGCATTCGTTAAACCGATGTCAAAAAATAATGAGTACAGCAAAAAATTTTATTGATCTTATGTATGATGATAGCACCTCAGATTTATTAAACCCTATAGGTAAAATATTACCTTTCTTTTTCATTAATAAAGGTATGCAATGAATAAGATTTAAAGAACAAACAACAGTAATATTAGTAAAAACAATATTTTTTCTTAATTAGTAAAAACAATATTTTTTCTTAATTCATGTACTGAACGTATTAATGAAAGTTGCAAAGTATTTTACTAGTAGGCATTTAGTTTGAGGTAAGTTAGAAACATATAAATAATTTTCCTCATCACACACTTGAAGTTGTGAATCTCATGAGAGACGAGCAGAATACGTTAGCAAACTTTAGAAGTATCAACAAAGAAAAATATCTAAAACATTAAACACATCCGTTTCTTTGACAGGTGTCACATTACATCTGATCTTTTAGAGCGTCTCTTGTTTAAACATTTTTAGATTTTAAATGAATGCCGCCCACTTAAAGTAATCCTTTTTGTGAGTAACTGAAATGTTGTTCAGCTAGTTGTGTGTAGGGTGCAGCTGCCTTCCGAAACGCTCCATCTACGGTCGAACTAAACTCCTTTCAGAAGCCGCCTAAATATCTCCTTTTTTCTGTATTTAATTTCACTATGAACACAGAAGACAAATTTACATTTAACAATTAATATTCTAAATATAAAGTGATGCCACTTTATACTTCAAACATTTTACTACATGAACACTAAGTATAAGAAAAACACGCTTTATTGTTAAGGCTTCCAACTTTACACCCCTAAAGATCACTGAATTGCAAATACATGGCCGACCATCATTTTATACTCGTATTTCTAATACTATAATACCATTAAAACATTTAACTGTTTTTATTTCCACAGAGGAACTGAGTAACACAAGCTATATTTAAAATTGTTAATTGTAACTGAAGTTAATAGTAATGGTAAATTCACTGCAGCCACAACTTTTACATAAATATATTCTTGTCATTTACTTATTCAGTGCATAAATTATAATAATATTTTTAAATGATTGGAATTGTAAAATACTTTTCAGAAGCGTTCCGGGTTAGATTAGGTAATCGCGAGGCATAGATATCTTTCAGGCAGGGCAGTATCTTGAATGTTTTTAATGGGGTATGCTGCTGAAGACCAAATTTTCAAAAAAAAAAAAAAAAAAAAAAAAAAAATATATATAATATATATATATATATGGAAGCTAGAATTACAAGCATTCGAAAGTTGTTAGAATTACATGTATTCGAAAGGAAATTTACGTATTAATGTATTTTTAAATAATGCAGAACATGTAAAATTATGAAATGCACACAATAAAAAGTTAAAATTCCCAGATTTGATATCTGAAACTGCAATTTTTGAAATTAGTTTTGCAAACAGTTTATAAGCTAGAGTCATAATTCTATTTTGCTTGATATATGCGGATCTCACTATAATATATTTCCAAGTATAATCAGTAAATAAATTATATCAATCAATTATTAATTCATCTTAGTGTCAGATAATAGCTGAACACTGGTATAGTTAAAGCTGATAGTGGCAAAACCAACGATTCAATCTTTTAAGTTTCACTTATCATGTTACGAGTGGTATTTATTTATACATGGTATAAATTTACGCACAAATTCAT